GCAGATAATGCTTTTTTGGCATTTTGTGAGCAGATTTTACATCAACAAATACTTAGTTAAACGTGTCTAATTGCAGGAGCATTCTGCAGCCTGAAGGTGGTTTGTTTCTCAGAGGCACTGCCTGGTTCTGTACCTTGTAGGTAGCTTTACTAAACCCTTACACTTAGGCAGAAGTGGTGCTGAAGTGTTCCTTTCAGAAGTGCTGTTGTTGTCACCTACACCTCCAGTGTAAGAACACCCGGAGCCTCACGTGGTGACATTTGCTTTTCTGAGCCATTTCAGACAGGACAAGCTCCTGAGAGCTGCTGAGCAGCTTCCCCAGCTACTGCCTTCATGAAGTATTGCATGAAGAGGTGCTGAACTGCAACCTCCTTGTTTGATCTCCTGTTTCTTACTTGGTCTGTTTGTGAGAATATTCCTTCTGCTTTGCTTTTTTTCCCCTTGACACACATACAATGTATATTTAGATCAGGACTGCATTAGACATTCATTTGGTTAAATGGTTTCTCACTCTATTCAGTCCTGCTTTGCTGTATCTGGAGCAAAATGTAATAGTCCACACAGTTTAATATTTGCTAAAAATAAATAGGAGAGGGTGGAAGGAATTTCTAACGTAGCTGAGAAAGTTTTACAACAGCTTCTTTACACAAAAATCATAACTTTGCATTTCCTTTTGTGTTAGTGGAAATCAATTAAATCTCCTGTACCTGAGGAGGGAATAGACACATACCATTTCTCTCTTACAATTTTGGAGGAAGGTTATATAGGAAGCTCTAAAATAGAGATTTATCACGACAGACGTATCATTTATTTCAGCATTAGGTAATTGTCAGTGACATAAAAAACAGCTTAGAAATTGGCATGAATTGACAATTTGGATGGCAACGTCATCAGAGTAACATGTGGGGAAAGAAATTTACCCACTTGTGACTCTGTTTGTTGTAAATCAGGATGGAATCCTGTTGAGAATGAATTTATACTGATATAAATTGATATTGGCACTTCTAATTCTTTGAGGTAGCGCTTAAGTTCTCTTTCACAAAAAATAATTCTTTTAACTAACTATGTCAATTCCATAGAATGCTTCAGTGGGCTAAAGTGAAATTAATATAATTCAATAAATAAATTGAATAAGATACATTTACAATTATAATCCATTTTCATATCTTAATGTTAAAACTTACTGAAAGTCTACCTGTTTGAAGTCAAAGTAAGCAGAACCTTCCTAATCAAGCTCACAAAAATCTGCTAGATATTCCTGAGTCAAGAGAAATGAAACCTGTACTAAATTTTGCAGGATGTTAGTGGCAGATGCAAATCCAAATATAAAATATTTCCTAAGAAGAATGTAATTCCTTAATGATTTACAAGGAATGGATTTTAAAAGAGCTGTTTTATCTCTATTTAACACTTTTTAAAATTAACGCAAACTGTATTTTCTACCAGCAATTGAAAATATGTAATATCATATAATCCAGATATTTGTTTCTCCATGTGCAAGTTTAATCATTTGTGGGAAGAAATCAGAGAGTTCTGACTTAAACCCATTTTAGAATGACAGATACTAAGAGAAAACAATTGACACAAATGAGAAGATTTCTTTTACTGTGTAACTTTAAAATGAAGTTTTCTTAAGCCAATTTTCCTTAAAATGTGAAATTCTGGATGCTGGACTTTGGAATTGAGAAAAAAGCCTTCAGTTATAGAAAAAACACTATTAGGTCACTGGTGACTGAAAGTGGAGGTTAGAACCAGTGATATTTATTTTGTCTCTGTCAGGTGGAGAAGAAAATCACTTTGTTAAATACAAAAAGACAGCACTGACAGGGAAAGAAAGGTTATATTTGAAAGCAGGAGATGAGATTCTTTTGTGGGGAGGGAGAGCAGAATGTGTGTCTCAACATTCCTAAATAGAGAAGCCAATTTTTGTGCTTACAACAGTGATCTGGAATAAGAGCTGGGTCCTGTGATCAGCTCAGTTCCTGGTTCTTGGAGATGCTGTTTTGTAGTAAATGAATTGGGATTCTTTTGGGGCTTTATTCACAGCTACACTGAGGACCTTTAACACCCCTCTGGCAGCTCACTGAGCCCGCTAGACAAATATTCCTTCTGCATGAATAATGTTATCAAAAATATTGAAGAAAACCGACTGAAAATAAAACTATCAACATCCTTTAGTTGATCCAATTATCTGTCTCTAAAAAAAGGTTTTAACACCTCCCACGCTGAACAGCAGCTTCAGTAATTTGGCCATGATAACAGTGCATAATCAAGAAACACGAGGCAGTGATACGTGGTGACACGTCCCATTTTGTGTACAGGAAGAGTTTTGTTTAAATAAATATCTTTTCTTTGTAAGTGCCTTTTGGATTACTTGCTATTTTGTTGCTCATCCCATTAGTCTCATATAGTTACCACAGATGTTTAATTGCAGAAATTGTAAATGAGTGAATCTAGCATTCCTGAGGATGAGATAGAGATGAGGCTTTGCATCCTTGGATTTTTTTTGATGTTCGTGGTGTATTTGAAGATAGGGAGCAAACTGTGACTAACGTGTAGAACAAAGGATTGGAAGGTTTGGTTATTTAGCTCCTACCAGTGACTAATTCACAGCAAACCTTAAGTGTCCTGTCATTATAGAATAGTGCTCTAACAAGTCCTTGTAATGATATGCTGCCATAATGCCCCAGATGATATTACAACATGATGTTTTATCAGAGAATTACATCAAAGGCCCAGCATTCAATTATGATAGGGTGGGTTGGGAAATCAAGCAGCCTGCTGTGCTGAGATGCAATGAATTGTTTTCAGCAGTGAAATGAGAACATCCTTGCACTGTAGACCTGCTAGAAGGCTACAAAGGAAGGTTTAAACTTCATGTCTGTAGCTGCTACCAATCTCAACATTTTTTCTGTGTGGAATCTGCATGAGGTCAGTGGCAGAGCTCAGAAGTAGCTCAGACCCAAGGCACTGCAGGGATCAGGACACAGGTTCTGCCTGTGTTACACCACAGAAACACGGTGTTGTTTGAATAATCATCCTTACAAAGCGTGGCTCTAACCTCAGCTGCAAGGAGCCACACTCATGGCCAGGGGCCCCAGCCCTGATGTCCATGCTCATGGGAGGGAGATGGGATAGAGTGAAGGACAAAGGACTGACCTCGATGTTTCCACTGGATATTCACAGTACATACAGAAAAAGACCCAGCTTTGTCATCACCAGCCTCAGTATTACAGCAGCAAAGAGCTATTTAAATGGAGATGGTGGCTGTTTGTACACGTAAAAATTATGTCATACATACTATGTATTGTATATAACATATCACTAATTTTAAAGGGAAGGGATCACATTTTGCCTCCCATTCATGAAATCCACAGACAACCAGACAAACAATATTCTGTGATTATTTTAGAAAGTAATTCATTATAAATAGGATAATGAATTACTAATCATTTACTAAAGCAACAAAAGAGATAATTGTATTCAATTTTATTATTCAAGTAAAATATTTTCTTTGGAAGGAAAACTAATTAGAATGTTTGAAAAAATATGGGTCACTTGGTAACACAATTAGTGTCTTCAACCAGACAGAAGGTAGCAGACTGAGGTTAAACACACACTTGGTAAGAATAGTTTGATTCAAATATATCCCCATGGTAGAGCAAATTCAGAGGGACAGCGGGGATTTAGGTTTATGTTTTGTCTTCCTGGACACCATGTTCCCAATACTACTTTGAACACAAAACTTTCCTTTCATGTATTCCCAGGGGTGCACTCATTGTACATTTCTCTGGACAATCTGTGCTCCCAAAGTCATTATATAATCTTGACATAATTAGCCTTTTTGTTAAATTATTTGGAAAACGGAAATCTAGTTTGTTAGTCATATGGTATTTCCCTGTTTCTCACTGCAGAGAGCCCTGATTGCTCAGGATTAACACTTCCACTTATGCTGCTTAGAGCTGACACCTCACTTTCATGTACTCAAAGTTCAGCATAATCACAGACCTAAACGAGAATAATCTTTATTTCTAAACCCTGCTGGTATCAATAATTCAACAAGGTCACCTCCAGCCTCGGAAGCGCTCGGGCTGCAAAGGGAGCGTGGTGTGCCCATCCCAGCGTCTGACCTGGGGCTCATCGGCTCCGCAGAGCAGCAGGAACAGCCGAGCTCATCCCAAGGGATGGCAGCACGGGCTGTGCTCCCCAGGGCTGATCCCGAGGGATGGCAGCACGGGCTGTGCTCCCCAGGGCTGATCCCAAGGGATGGCAGCACGGGCTGTGCTCCCCAGGGCTGATCCCAAGGGATGGCAGCACGGGCTGTGCTCCCCAGGGCTGATCCCAAGGGATGGCAGCATGGGCTGTGCTCCCCAGGGCTGATCCCAAGGGATGGCAGCATGGGCTGTGCTCCCCAGGGCTGATCCCAAGGGATGGCAGCAGGGAATGTGCTCCCCAGGGCTGATCCCGAGGGATGGCAGCAGGGGCTGTGCTCCCCATTGCTGATACCGCGGGCTGGCCGGGCTCTCCGCTCCCCAGGGCTGATCCCGAGGGCCGGCCGGGCTCTCCACTCCCGCAGGGCGGGCCGCTGCCGGGGCAGCTCTGAGGGGCTCCATGCCCGCCCCGGCCCTGAGGGGGCCCTCAGCCGCCAGGGGGAGCTGCTCCCGCCGCTCCCCGCTCTCGAGTCCTGGCGCGGGCTCGGCCAAGCCCCGCCTTCCCAGCCCCGCCCCGCCAGCCGGTTGGCGGAGGGAGCCGTCAATCCGAGCGACTCCCCGCCCTCCTGCAACCGTTCGGAGCGCGGCTTGATTGGCAACCGCGCGCCGCTGCTCTCGAGCCGCAGCCTTCCCCCGCCCTAGCTCGCCCTCTGCGGAGCGATTGGCTGATACAGCTGTCAATCATGGATTAGCCCCTTCCCAACCACTGGAGCCGCCTCCTTAGCCCGAGGTGCGGTTTGATTGGTTTTTCGAGCTGTCAATCAGCGGCGCGCCCCGCCCCGTCGCGGTCAGGTAGCCCGGAAGATGGCGGCGGCGGCGGCGGCCGGTGGGGCTCTGTGAGAGGAGCGGCGGCGGGGCCGATGCCGCGGAGCTGGGGGGCGGCGGCTGCCGCGGGGGCTCCCCGGAGTCGCTGAGAACCTCGAGCCCCTCGTTCGGCGCCGGGCCTCGGTCCGGGAGCGGACGGCATGCGGCAGCGCGGGGGGCTCGGCGGGAGCGCCGGGCGGCGGGGGGGCGGTGGCCCGCGGCTGCTCGGCCCGCGACACCTGCTCGGGCTCGTCCTTCTGCTGTGGCCGCTCGTGGGGAGCGGCGAGGCGGCTCCGCTGCCGGCAGCAGGTGCAGGTGAGCGCGGGGGAGCGGGGCTGGGGGTGCGGCTCCGCGGCGGGGCCCGGGAGCGGCGGCACTGCGGGTTTGCGAGCCCCCGTCCTTCCCCCGTGCTGCGGGCACGGCTCCGCCGAAGCGTCGGGAAGGGCACGGCGGGCGGATGGGGCTCCCCGGCTGTAGGTCACGGCTCTGCCGGTGGCACTGAGCGGTATCCCGCTGTGGATCGCTCAGACCCCTGACACTGAGCTACGGGCTTGTTCTGGCTGTGTGTTTACCGCAGACCTTCCTGTAGTGCTGCTGCTTTTACCTGTACTGAGCTCGGCGGGGTTTTGCTTTTCTCTGGTTTTGCCTGTGAATCACCGGGACTCCCGTTCCTGGGTGGAGGCTCTCCAGGGCAGACGGCACTTCCCTGTTTTCCGGTCAGATTAGTCGGATTCCCCCCCCGGCCCCCCCGGGCCGGGCTCTCTAAATAGTCATGTAGTTCACATTTCTTTCTCTCGTATGTTAGGTAACGCTGGCTTCCTTCGATTTCCCTGCTTATTTTCCTGTTTGTCTTAAAAGCACAAACTAAACAATATGTCCTCGCAGTCGTAGGACTGACTGATCAGAGGTTTATTAGGACTCACGGGTACCAACTGTGTCTTTGATTCATTTTTATTGTTGGCATTTCACTGGGGCTTGCAAACATAACATTGTATTGAGACTGAATTTTGTTAGGGTTGGGTTGGTTGAAATGTGTGCTGAGATTCCCTTCTAGCCGTGAGGAGTTGTACAGCTTAAACAGACAAGATGTTGAGGGAGGAGCAGGAGCAGTGGGGAGGGAAAGATACGAAGCACAAAGATTAGGTAATTTGGCTGCTCTTCCACATGAAGTATCAAAACTGGGAGTGGAACCCATACTTTCTTTATTTTTGGACCAGTGTCTCTTTACCAGTTTTTCCTTCCCAAAACATTTATGAATTGTTCATAAGTCACTCCCTCCATCAGCCTGCTTTGGGGTCTTTCATACTTTGTTTAAAAGTGAACTTCTGAAAAAGAGAAAACTGTCAGTGAAATCTTTATTTCCTTTGATGCTCCATGATAATGTTTTCATTTGTAAAATACTTGAGGTTTATCCAAATAATATTAATTTGTCATTGAGCTGTAAGGTAAGACAGCAGAATCAGTTCTCTATGAAGGATTTTATAATGTCCTTCCTGGGTCTTACTTTCCTTGAAATGCAGTTAATTTTTCTATTTAAAGGAAAATGTCAAATGTAAAATTTTTTTTAATATAATTTTCTCTTTCCTATGAGGACTATGCATGTACCTTACAAAGACGGGAGAACAAAGCATAACTTCCATGACACTGGTAAAAAGCTTTATTCTCAAAATGAAAAGCTGATTGGACAAATTGCAGGACAGAGTATTAAAGTGTTGTTGTTTGGTTTTGGTTTTTTTTAATTCTGTAATTTAAAAGACTGAATCAGCTGTGCCAAGTGCAGTACTGCTAAGAGAAATATTTATGATGCTATGATATTGGGCTCATACAACATGAATGAGATACTGTAATTTTATATGTGGGTTTTGGTTATATTTAGGCCACAGTATGTATACATGGGATGTTATCTCAGGTTTAGCCAACTGGCCAGATGCTGTCAAGGGAAACCCAGAGAACTCCAGGAAATGAAGCTGCTGCTTTCTCCTGTGTCTTTGCCCATGTAAGAGACAATGTATTTGGACTACTTTGTTGATGGATATTTAGTATTGAAACTTTAGGGCCTCATTAGATACCTTTTCCAGTTTCACTGGCATAATTTTTGCTGGCAGGACTTCCTCCAGCCTGAAATAATGTGTGCCTGGTGGGTTGGAGTGCAACAGGTTCTTTGGCTGCAACATGTCCTGCATCATCACCTGTATGAGCAGCAGGAGCTGGGGGAAAGCTACAAGGCTTTTGTTTTGTTGTTTTTTTTTTCCTTCCTGTGAACATCTTCCCAGTGGATGACAATGAGACTGGTTCAGCTTGAACCTTCTCTGCCATTCTGGGCAGGTTTTAAACCTGTCTGAAGACAAACCTGTGACGTTATTTTGCAGGGCTAAGAGTCATGGGTTGTGTCTAAAAACAATTCAGCCATATTGCGAATGTCTCTCTTGTGTCCCATGACAGGTTGCTTTGATTTCCACTGCTGGGGCTGGCAGGTGGTGGTGGGGGGCTTCATTCTGGACCTTGGCAGTTTTTGCAGTTGACTGTAACAGTTGGTCTGATACATATGGATTGAAAACTTGAGAGGAATTTAATGGGCTTGCATAGAGTGATTACTAGCTAGTTTCAAAATTACTTTAGAATCCCACAATTCTTCACCTAGCAAGAATGGTTGCTTTTTTGACATGATTTTTTTTTTTTTTATGTGTGTTGCTTGTAATAGGAAAGATGGGATCCACAGAAAAGGGAGAAAGGTGCCTGTAGTTATTGTAAGGAATTTTATAGTATACCTATAAGAAATTCTCCTCTTGTGAGGAAGCTGGAATGCTGGAAGTGGTGATGGGCAGGTTCTAGCAAGACTAGATTAGATTCCTTGAGCAAAACTGCTCCAGTTTGTGGGAATGCAGTGGAAGTTTGCCAGACTGGGTGGCTGGGGAGCTGTCAGGTTCCAGGGCCCCAGTGGAGAGGAATGATGCTGCTCTTCTCAAGTGTGGCTTCATAGTGCTTGCAGATGAAGGCATGCATGGACAAGGTGTTCTATATTTGTCTTGCATTTTTGATGATATATTTCTAAACTAATTTTATCTGTTTTTTCATTCAACAATAAGGAGAGGAGGTAAAGGAAATCAGACTTGAACTGTTTCCTTGGTAAAGTTCATAGTGATTATTATATTAAATATGAAAAACAAGCTGTTGAAGATGCTACTGCCTAAAAATACTTTAACCAACTTAGATTTAATTTATTCTGTGAGTGGAAAAAAAGTACTGTGATAGTTCTGAGTTTAAGGTTTGACTTTATACTGGAGGTAAGAGCTGGGGCAGTTGTGCTGGAAAGGAGTTTCAAGGCTGAAGTGTTGAAGTTGTCTTTCACCTGCAGAGTATTGGTGATTTTCCCCAAGTGCATCAGCCTAACCTGACTTCCATTAGCAGCTCTGTGGCTGAAGGAAGGACATTTGGGCACTGCTTTTCTGCAGCAGTGTTTAGCAGCCAGGCACTGCATCACAAACTGCCATGGCTGCTTTACTGTGCTAAAGCTTTCCATGCACATTCAGGCTCTCAGTTCTGACTTGGATTTCCATACTTGACCTTAATTCCTCTGAGCATCTGAATCAAGTATGTGTGTAATGTCAGACAAAGTGTTTTCATCATCTCTGTGCTCTATGAAGTCTTTGCAAATACAAAGAAGAGGGACTCAAAAATACTTTTATTATCCTGTAAAACTTGAATAGGTGGTAGCATTTTAGCAGGTGTGTTTGGTTTCATACTTCTGATGACTGCACAGTCTGATCACTTGAAGTGAGGAGCTGCACTTGGTGCCTACATGATTCCTTTTTGAGAGCCTTGGCCTTGGAACTGAGTGGCCCAGTTGGGTGTCAGACAGGGAGTCTCTGCTGATGGACTTGATCAGGTAGGATCCAGGAGGAGATGATTAGAATTTGGTGTATAGTATCCAGAGATGTTCATCTGGAATATGTAAATATTCATGCAGCTGTACGAATCTGAAGTATCTGCATATTCAGTCAGCTGGCCTGAGGTGACAAGTTAAAACTTTGAGATGAAGTCACTTTTTTTTTGTTTTTTGCATTAAGATGAGCTCTGTAGTACATATATACGCCTGGGAAAATTGTTGCTTTTTGGGTTGCTTTGGCTTGATGTTTTGCTTGGAGTTCTCTCAGTCTGGGGCCAAATTGCAGTTGTGGCCTGTGGTTTGGTACAATGTAAAATGTCTGTGACTTGCACATAATAAGAAAAGCCATTTTCTAAGTGTATGCAAGTTAGCAGCTTGGATCACTGGAAGTTAAGAAAAATCTTGCTTTTACAGTGGGGATTTTAATTGTGGTCTGTGCCTTTCATGGGAATGGTCTATCCTTCCTCCCCTTTCAAGCTGAACTTGTTTACTTGTCCCTGTATTTCTTTTTTCTAGCTTCTGTCCCAGGCACTTAATAATTGTAGAACTAGAAAAAATTGAACTGGAAATTTGTCTTTTATCTTTCATTTGTATCTGTGAGTTTGAGGTAAGAGGCCAACTCTGACTTTGGCCCGCAGGGATGTTCCACGCAGAGCTTTGTTCACAGGCTTGGTTTGCTTTCTCTGCCTGTGGCTGTAAAGTGTCTGGACTTTGCTACAACTAAAGGAGTCCTCATAGGACGAGGTCACTTTCTGAAGCAATTTCTCACATCTTGAATGCTTAGGTGTATTTAATAATTCCCCAGGTATCATTGCAGCATATTAAGATAGCACTGATCAGAGTGTTCTGTTGGCACAAAGTCAGGTGCTGGGCATTGGTTTGAAAGAACCCATTGCTGGGTGCTGGTTGTGCCCCTGCATTAAAAAAAAAAAAAAAAAGATTTTGTGAGATCTGACATTCTGGATAGGTAAATATGATTGGGAGTAATTTTCTGGATGCTTGCTGCAGTCTGGTTTCAGTCACTATTCACACACGGTTTATCTGCGTGGGATAAAGGGACCTCAGGCAGTGGAATGCCAGAGCTGCAAAAATCCCAGTGCTGTTTCAGTACTAACGCTGCAGTTCTGCAGCAGAAGGACAGCACATGGAGTACTGGAGTCTTCCTTTGGGTTTTTTTTTGGGTCTGCCTTTCTGTTTGGTCTGGGCACTTAGTGTCTGGAGCTTGATACAGTTCTGGATACAATTTGCAAAAGCTTCAGTGCTTTTGTTGCTCTGTATGAGCTCTTTGTTTTCATTGTACTGCTGTTATGAAAGGTCTTGAGCAACGTCTAGATACAAGAAACATTTTGTCAACTTTTATAAGCAGAAATGTACAAAATGTGTCAGGCTAGTCCTGCATGTGTGCTTTAAGTGCTGTTTGTAGCAAGGT